GTCATTGGATCTCGCTGGGTATATAATTTGAAGTTCTTACCGGATGGATCTCTTGAGCGCTTTAAAGCGCGTGTGGTTGCCCAGGGGTTTTGTCAGGAGTATGGGAATGATTTTGAAGAAACTTTTGCCCCTGTGGCAAAAATGGTGACTGTACGATCATTGCTGGCTGTGGCATCTATGCGAGGTTGGCCTCTCTTCCAGCTTGATGTCAAGAATGCATTCTTGCACGGCGAGCTCAAGGAGACTGTTTACATGGAACGCCCTCCTGGATATACTCGTGGTACTCCTGATCAGGTCTGCCTGCTCCGTCGGTCTCTCTATGGTTTGAAACAAGCTCCACGAGCTTGGTTTGACAAGTTTCACTCCACCATTCTGGCTCTTGGTTTTCAGCAGAGTCTCAACGATCCCTCTTTGTTTACACGTCATACTGGTGCTAGTCTGGTGGTGTTATTGATTTATGTTGATGATATGATCATTACTGGTGATGATTCTGCAGGCATTACAGCTCTTACCGATGGCCTCCACGCCTCCTTCAACCTTAAGGAACTTGGATTTGTTGATTACTTTCTGGGACTAGAGGTTAAGCGCTCTTCTGCAGGTATTCTTCTCTGTCAGACTCGTTATGTTGATGATCTTCTTGAGACCGCCCGTCTCTACTCCCATGGAGATGAACCTCAAGCTCGGGAGGGAGTCTGGCGACCTCTTTCCCGACGGGGGAAAACACTACCGTAGTGTGGTTGGCAGTCTGATATATTTGACGTCTACTCGTCCTGATATCACTTATGTCGTACAGATTGTCAGCCAGTTCATGTCTTCTCCCCGTACAGATCATTTAGCTGCTGTTCATCGGATTTTGAGGTACCTGCAGGGTACCCGGGAGGTCGGTCTTTTTCTTCCCTACTCAGGTTCTCTTGTTCTGCAAGCTTTCTCGGATTCTGACTATGCCGGGTGTGTGGACACGAGATGATCTACCACTGGCTGGTGTGTGCGGTTGGGTGATTCATTCATTTCTTGGCGGTGTAAGAAGCAGGATCGTGTTTCGAAGTCTTCTACAGAGGCCGAGTACAGGGCTATGTCTGATGTTTCTTCAGAACTTGTCTGGTTACGACGTCTACTTGGTGATCTCGGGGTTGATTGTGATCTTCCCCTCCAGCTTTATGTCGATAACACTAGTGCTATTCAGATAGCTCAGAATCCGGTGCTTCATGATCGGACGAAGCATATTGAAGTTCATTTGCACTATATTCGTGACTTGGTTCGTGATGGCATTCTCCGTCTTTTCCACATCAGATCCGAAGACGAGATTGCTGATTTATTGACCAAGTCATTCTCCGCCAGTCGTCATTTCTATCTTTCTCGCAAATTGATGATGAGAGATCCTCATCAATTTGGGGGAGGCTGTTGAGTAATGTAACATGGGCCTTGGGCCCACTTCCCATATGTAGCTCGGGTGTATGGGATTGAGTAGACTGGCCGAGAATTCTAGGGTTAGAGAGCTAGGGTTAATTCTCTAGTTTGTATATATATGCTTGTAACCAGACTTGTCGAGGTTAAGCTGAATAATACGATACTATAGCTTCGGCCGTGGACTAGTCTCGTTCATACTGAACGGGGAAACCACGTAACTCTCTGTGTCGATTTACGCTTTCTGTTTCGATATACCATTACGATCAACAATCCATATCTGATAACATATTATGTTATCAACCATGAGTTTTCATTGACTTTAACAAGGATATTTATACCTAGATAATTATAAAATACAATTAGGATAAGAACCAGGGTCTTCCAATGAATTTTGGGAGGCTTTGTTTCAAAACTAATTAAGATGTGACCCATTTATTAAGTATAACTAAATGAAAACGATGATAACATCGATCACTAATTAAATAGTAATACCCTTATAGTTGGTTATAACTTATAAACTTATAATGCTATGTGTTTATTTTAGTGACCTCGGCTTAAATTCCAGTAATCCATTTTTTAATATGTAAATAAGTTGGGTACAAATACTAAATGAACTTTCTTATAATCCTTTTTCGGCCACAAAATTTAAAATAAGGATTGCAATTTTCTCATTCAACTTTAAATATATGTGTAGATATATAGTAGTAAGTTAGGATAGCTCGGTCACAAAATACATATTAACTAATTATTACCAATATCACAATTATCAACTAGTACAAAGATTATTTTGATTTTTTAATAAACTATTGAGAATGCACCAAATCATTTAAAAATATAAATAAACTGAATATCATGAAGTAATAACAAATAAGATAAATTCATCTTACCAATAGATCGAATAAAAGCTCGTTACCAAAAACAACAGATTTAATTCTTTTATTAATTATATAAAGAATATAAAACGACAGACCAGACATTTTTACTTTAAAGGTTTAACAGTACCACGTTGTTACATATGATAGGATGATAACAATACATCAACCTTTTGCGTAAAAAGAAAAAAGTGCATCAAATTAGGATGCTAATTGCTAGACATCCAAGATAAATAATGGTGCGAAAATGTTTTTCCTTTCTTTTTCTTTCTATGGAGTTTCTCCGTTATTCAATCCTCCCAAAACAGCCTAGTTCACGTTTTTTTTTTCTTCCCCTTTTTTGGAATAAAAAAAATAAAAAAGAAACAATCCAAATAATGTATTAGTTCCTTTCTTGTGTGGTTGAGTTCAGAAAAAGCTAGGTACCAATGGGGAGGGGCAGGACATATTGTTCCAGGCAAAGTTGATCCCTTGAGTTGGGTACGAGAACTTGGCATCTTTCTGAAACATCATGTTCTGAACAGCCGCCGAGTAGGGCTCCACCGCAGCAGCCATGGAAGAAGAAGAAATCTTGTAGCGCGGCGGCAGAATGTCGTTCTCCGCCCTGAGTCTCTTCATAACCCTGAAATCCGCTGCTGACTGAACTTCCAGACGGTCTCCTTCTGAGTCTGACTCATCTTCCTTGGTGTTGGACTCGGACTCGTCACACAGAGATGGCAACGACATGGTAGGGAAGGGCCTTGGCTTGGAGAAAGCAGCTCTGTTCCTATGCTCCTCCACGATCCTCTCCAGGAATCTCCCCTGAGCTTCGATCTTCTGCTTCAGGTTTCTCTGAACCTCGAGGTGGTCGCTCAGCCGCCTCTCCACTTCCAGCTGCATTTGCAGTGCTTCGTTCAGTTGAGCTCCTCTGGGTGACAGAGAAGGGAAAGATTTCGTTTGTTAGTGGCTTCTTAAGCAGGAAACCTGCGAGCTGGCTAAGGAATGGTACTTACGAGGTGGCACTGAAATTCGGCAGCATCTCTGAAATGTTTCTTCTCTCCATCCCTCCTGCAATGTTAACAAGTACACAAGAGATACATATACATATTTATTAAACCAGGGTAATTGTGGCAAGTTTCAGTGATGGAATATGATAGCAGAATCTTACTGTTGGGTGTTTCTGGGATAAATTTGGAGATCCTGTATTTCTGGAGAGGTAACAAAAACCAGCAGAATGGAGAAAAGGTTAAAGAAAGAGAACAGAGTATGTTGGTGGATAAACGAGTTGGATTAGTGGATTTCTGCAACATTACTACTTATTTATTATCTGAATGAAAGTTTGCATCTTAGATTACATTTTAGTGCCTACTGCCTAGACGTAATATAGTGACAGACTGAAAATTCTTAGCTCCAACTTTTGTTGGACGCAGAAGCTCCAACCAGCCACATTTTGCATTAAATTACATTTTAGTATCAGAAACAGTTATATCCTCACATCTTACTACATAAAATTCTAGTACTCTACAAACTGATCCGGAATTTCAAATCCAACTACCCATTCATTCTACATGACGAAAGTTTACACTATTTATGCTACCCGTGTTTGAAGATTCCACTATTAAGTATTAAAACAACCTCTACATTTACAATTGAACACCCAAATCTAAAATTTTACACATCCACTCTTACTGCCTTACATCTGCTTCAACCCCCAACAAATTTTCAAGAGAATGTGAACAATAACCCATCGACCCAGTTAACATAACCCATTCAAACCTAACCGGTAAACCAATCAGCCCACTAACTTAGGTCATCTCTGAGATTGAGACTTCTTACCTGCAAGTGGCTCTTGACATGGTAAATGGTGAGTCCAGGAATGCTCATAGCCTTCAGGATCCCTTTCGGAGTTGCCCCTGCCATAACAATTGTGCAAATATATAAACATATCTATACGGCGCTACAATGAAACGGGCAATGCATGTTGGTTTAGGAGAAAGGAGAGAGCTTATATACTGTCAGGGCCACCAAGCTGGTTAACAGCTTCTTCAAACCGGTCATGTAGCTCTTGCGTCCATCGCAGTCGCTCTTTACCGGCGCCATCAGAGCGACTGGAACCCATTGTCTACAGTCAGGTAGAGGACGATCCAACTCCAGCGGCCGTGCTTAAGTGAAATGCAGCACACAGCCCCAGCTCAAGCACTGCAGAAGAATAGAACCCCCTTTGCTTTGGTGATGAGAAAGTTATAAAGGGAAGGAAGCCAGACCCCAAGAGAAAGAGTAAACCGAAACAATCTGGAAACTAGGGAAAGTGACAAGAGAAGGGAGACGGGGGGCAGACGTGAAGAACTAAAAGGGAAATATGGTTTCTTATGGTGTGCAGATCCTAGCCAATGTCTTGTCTCTAGTTGCCGGACAAAATCAAGCAAGGTCGTGCAGAGTCCATCTGAACTTGAATTTCTTGATCCAAGTATTTCAAGGACTCTGAAGGAAGTACTTACCATCCCGCCAATCGTATTGTACAGCTCAGTATCAACTGTCCCGCCTCTCCCTCATATTTGTCTTCTTTCAGAGATTTGGCTGATGATGCTTCTTCACGTTCAGACTTGCTTGGCACTTCCAGCGGATATTTTGTCTGCATCAATAAATAGAACCATTGAGTAGAGATCAAGAACCCAGAAACTAGCAAAGTTGTGCACCAGATACAGAAATGGATGAATTTTGAGAGGAGAGCGAGGCCGAATAACCAAAGTCATTGAAGCACTTTTCATACATCAGGAGATTAGATTACAAATAGCTGACATTAGAGAACATGAGGATTACAGATAAAAAATAAACAAAAGGCATTTTTGTAAGAATGCATTACAGGAAGTGTAAATGATACTAATAAGACTAAATTGACTACAGTCTGTTGTGCAGGTAAGAGGCACGATAGCAAAGTGGGTTAAGGCCTGTTCCTCTTGATGCAGCATGATGGGCACTTGTACTGCTTAATGGTCTCAGCTTTGGCAGGGGTTATTTTCACACACTTGCCATGAAACCATCTCTCGCAGATGTCACATCCGATCCAGAATTCATCAGCGTTATAGTTTCCACCACAGCTTCCGCAAAGTGTATCTGTGTGTTCATCTTCAGCAGCATGGTAATTTTCTTGTTTGGGATTACTTCTCACTTGCCCATCGCTTGATCTCTGCAGATAATTCAAGAATGGTCAATGAGCCTTGAAGACAAAATAAAATTCAGGAATTGAAAGTAGAAGATTTGAGCAGCCCATCACTGAAGGCTACGCAATACTTCAGTAGACCAGCATTGTAGCGATATACAAGATTATAGCTTGCACGAGCGACAGTCAAGAAATATTCTGATAGTCCACATATAGCCGCAAACAAAATGAATATTTGCAATCTAACGAATTGAGTGTTAAATCAATCAAACCTTAGTGCTCCCTCGAGATTTGCTTCCACTATCGATACTGGGCTTTTCTCTGGGCTTCCTGTCTGTTACAACTTCAAAGACAGTAGGGTGATCATTGATCATGCTGAAAAGTCGTTTCCTGTAAAATCACAATTCAGTTCAGTTCTCTGTAAACCGTGCTACATCAGGCATCAATCAAAGCAATGAGCAACCGAACTGAGTTGTGATAGCTCTCTTGATTTAAGGTGGCTGATGGAACCAAAGTGCCAATATACTAAAAACTCCAACAGCATATCAAACCAAACTCAAGGTACACACAAATGGGCTAACACATGGCCTAAAGTAGAAATAACAACAAAGGTAGTAAAATTGGAAGGGAGTTGCTGTGGTGAGCATAGACGAATTTTGCACAGAATATCACCCAGATGCTCAGCCACTTCAGCTCAAAAGAAACAAACAAAAAATCTGCTATAGAATCGCTCAAGTCTGCAGGACAACTTAAATCATCATCAGTTAAAATTAAACTAGAGAAATGTCCAGCGAATTGTTATGAGATTAACGATGTAGCTGACAGCTGAGTAAACTCCGTACAACCAGTGGGCTTTAAATTTCGATAGTCATCAGTGGTGTACCCAAAATGAACAGTGCTTGCATTGACTAGCATGAAGGAAGAAACAAAACAAACCCAGTAAACCTAGTTTCCATCAAGTGACAAAGCTACCCACAGGCTCAAGCAAGAAAAAAAAAGGTACCTATCGTTCCTATTAAGACGAGCTCCGAGGTAGAAAGCCACTGAGAGCAGCCAAGAATCACCGTGAACAGCAATGAGGGAAAGCCAGTCGTTGCGATTCATGCCATCTCTAGCAAAATTGATACCAAGAACAGGTTCAGGTAGCTCTGGTGGCACTTCATCCGCCGGCAGAGTTACCTCCCACCTCTCGTTTGGATGTCCATACAGACACAGGTTCTCCTTTTCTGCGTAAATATACTCACATCACACTCAAACCCCTACTAATCACACACTGTTTCATTATACGCTGCCTATACATAGCAATGTGAGATACAGAAATGCGCAACGTAAACGGTGATTTTCAGCAAGTAAATTCAGGTATAAAAAAATTCAATAAAACTTGGCGAGATCGAAACAGCGAGCTTTCGACCGTGCTAGTGCTACTTTTCTCTCAGTTTTCCCGAGAACCAAACAGAAAGGAAAAGATGGGAACCGCGGGGGAAAAAGAGGAATTTCCCGATCTGGAGTTTACCTGGATCGCACTGTGCGTAGAATTCGTCCGAATCTGAGAAGAGAAACCAGAATAACAAGGCGTGATGGAAAAATCATTCAACAGAGGTTACAAAACTGAGAAAGGCATGTTGAAAACAGTTTACCGTCAGTTAAGGCACGAACAAGGCCGGCTCTTCGGGCAGTGTAATCTTTGAAGATCTCCTCTACGGTCCGAGCGGTGGCGGCCATTACCATGGATGGACGAAGACGACGGCGAACGGAGATTGAGAATTCCGACGCTGGAGCTGAAAACGGTTAGAAATGCAGGGTGAATAACAGTAGAAAACGCACGGGAAGACCGTCTGATGGGCTGGATCGAACGGAGGACCAACCAAGCGTAAGACAAACTAAACGGAAAGTGGGAAAAAAGCAAAACAAAAGAGGAGAGAGGGAAGCGGAGACTGTAAAATATTAAAATGTTTTACAAAAGACATTATTACACAAATATTAGTAAATTACGAGCAGCTTCTTCCCTTTGGGTTAGTATCATGCTAATTAATATAATCATTATTCATTATTTTTAAGTTGAATATGATGGTGGAGAGTCTGGAGACTAGTGAAGAATTTGTATAGTAATTCCGAAATTTATAAATTAAAAAAATTAAATACTAAATTACCGAAAAAATTACTACTAAAAAAGATATAAAACCCAACCCTTTAACTTGGTAGTTTTTGTTGGCTTATATTAGTTTTCCTATAATACATAGTTATTTTAATTTAATTACCGGTGTTTTAGCAATTTTTAATTAATACTGATTGTCGAATTTTAGTAAGAATCATTACTTGAAATTAACCTTCAAGAAGGCGAGTCTAGGAGCACGCCTAGGCTCGATTTGGCGCAAGGCATTGGTGAAAATGTCGTGACTTGGGAATATGTGTGTGTAAAAAGTGCTCATAGCACATAATAGGTTGGAATTGCGCATAATTTGTGCCTAGTAGGAGAGAAGGCATCCCAAGGCGCGCTGAAGCGAGCTAGTTGACCGATGCCAACACACTGTCATTTTCGTCCTCTCTACCATTTTCCATCGTTACTAGTGATTCGTGATATGTTGGGCTGCTAACCTGCCATTGATAGACCGATAATTACACATGTTTTCACCCCTATTCTTGAGCCGTTTGAGAGGTTGACTCTCGTGTTTTAAGCCGATTTCACGCTAGGTTGTGCGTTTATGTCATGTTTCAGGACCCGGCGTTGGAATCGAGGAGAAGGAACGAGATTCGGGTCGAAAGGAGCAAGTGAGACTTGAAGTGTGCTGGAGGAAGAAAATACCCGGCCATGACCAATAATACCCGGCCGGGTATTATTCTGAGGAGACCGGGTATTTGCTGTTTTGGGCATCTGAGAAACATAGAGGGTCCCGGGCTGGAGGCAGAAATCCCCGACTGGGGATTCTTGGGACAGACCGGGTATTTTTCCCTTCCTCAAAACGTGCGTTTCAACTATACCCGGTCGAGACCCAAAATACCCGACCGGGTATTTCGACCGGGTATCGCGACAGGCAGCAGTTTTAAGGGAAAAGAAGGCTGAAAATCAAGGGATTCGAGTTTTAGAGAGACAGAGCGATTCCTAGAGAGAGAAAGCAACGAGCAAGAGTTCCCAAGTTCCCTAGCGTGATCTTCATCACCATTGGAGCTTGGCTTGAGTTTGGAGAAGTGCCGATCAACGTCCAGGAGCAGAAATCCATCCTTCACAGTATGATTTCCGCGTCTGAATCTGCTTTTGCTTCTTTCTCCATGGAGTAGTTCTCCCATTCATCTGGGTATGGAGACCCCTAGATTTTTATGTTAGGTTTGATTGTATGAACCCAAGTACTGATTCTATGAGTTGATTATATTCGATTGAGGCTTGAATGATTGAATGACTTGAATCCTGATCAAATTCATGTTGTTTCTGCTTTAACCTAGAATGAGAATATCTGCCTAGGTTGATAGAGCATCCTTGATTGAAGGTAGGGAGTTGGTTACTTTAGTCGAGGAGCCAACTCACTATTCTGTACCGAATTCACTTCGGTAGTGGAGGTTTTGTTCGTTAGGGCCTCAATCTGTTTACTCCGGTGGAGGTTAGTCGCCCGCTAGAGACTCAGATTGAGAGGGTCTGGAGACCTTTAGTCGAGATGACTAAATGTGACATTTTCAGTAATTTGAGTGACTTTCATAAAAAAAAAGTAATTCGAGTGACCAGAGTCGGATGGAGGCTAAAAGTAGAGTGACTAAATGTGACCTGTTTTAGTAATTCGAGTGACCTAAATTGATATTAATTTTTTCTAGTGACTAAAGATAACACGATTTAGTAATCCCAGTGAGCAAATGTGGCATTTACCCAATAACAATGAAAAATACTACCACATGGAAGTAAAATACTACTAATAATTATAAAAATTAATGATTACAATAAGAATCAATACAGAAATAGCTACTAAATACTAATATGTACAAATACGAATCACTATTTGTCAACGTCTCAGTTCCTTTCTCGAAAGTGATGGCAAATTTTTTTAGGTATGCAAAGTTGCTCAATGGGCTTCTCATGAAGAAGCGGAAGTTCGAAGACCTCGCCTTAGTCACTTTGAGCAATGAGTGCTCGACCATCATCCAGAACAAGTTGCCTCAAAGCAACATGATCGAGGTAGCTTCATTATCCCCTTTGCATTGGAACATGTCATATAGATAAATCCTTCGAAAATTTAGGAGCAATCATCAATGTCATGCCATATAATCTTTACAAGAAGTTAGACCTAGGTGAATTGAAATCTACTAGGTTGAGTGTCACATTGGCTTGCCGTTCTGTGATTCATCCTAAGGGCATAGTGGAGGATGTCCTAGTTCGAGTGGGAAAGTTTTACTATCCGACAGATTTTATCATCCTTGATATTTATGAGAATACCGACATGCCCTCATACAAGGACGACTTTTCCTTGCCACCTCCAAGGCATTAATTAATGTGAACATTGATTCTGACAGATGGCGAGGAGAGTATCACTTTTTCGATTGATCCAAAGGATAAAATTGAGAATGTGGATGGGATAGAATCCAATGGTGTTATTGTTAGTGGAGGTAAGTCTTCCAAAGGCAAACCCAACTTGTGATCCTTGTATTTGTGGCAATGTGAGGTAGGATTCAGGAGCGGGTTCAAACCCTTAAATGAAGAAGAAGAAGAAGAAGAAGAAGAAGCGCCAAAAGATGAATCTTGCCTTGTCCTGAAGGAAGAACAAGAGAAAGTAGACATCAAGTGACTATGAGAGAGCCATCCTTCGGAAATGGTGAATCGAGATGACAAGCCTCGCCACGAGATTGTGGCGAATACACTCTTGGTAGCCTCATGTTCTCAGGTGATAACACCTAAATTGGTGTTATTTACCCTTCACATTGAGGTTTATTTTGTGTCAATCATGTGCATAATCGTTTAAATAGCGTTGATTATATCCCTATTTCATTCCTATTTGATTATGATGTGACACTACAAAAAAGGCAGACAATTTTGACGAAAACTTACTAATGACTCAGAAATTGCATCGAAAAGGTGCATAATTCTGACGAACAACAATTGTGGTCAGTAATATATGCCTCTTTACTAACATAGTTGAATATTCGTCAATAATTGTGAATGTTGTCGTCAGTAATATGAATTTTGGGCTGGAATCAATTTGCCACATTCATTATTTATGACGATTTCGTTTTCCGCGTTAGAAAAATACTAAATATTACTGGAGAATAAAAAATTAGCGTCAGGAATTTTTTTTATTATTAACGACTAAAACTTGTTTGTCAAAAAAGATTTTATTTTGACGCCATTAACAGTTCGTCAATACTATTTGGTCAAAAAAATCTTGGTAGTGACACACCGAAAAGGCATCGGTAAAATATCGTCAGAAAAATGATCATTTTTCTTATAAAATTAATTACTGTCGACATGTTTTTTCGTCAAAAGAGATGATTGGGAGGCAGTTATGAAAGTTGCACATTTAGAAATATATCTCTATCTACAAACATGACATTTTCTTAGAAATGATTGAATCAATAAAAAAAACACAATTTCTTTAAGTAATTATAATAAGCACTTCTTTATAAAAATAGAAATTAAGTAATATATCCCGATCTGCAAACATGACCAAATTAGTCCTAATCTTCAAACTCTGTTCTAGTTCAGTGTATGACGATCAAGACGATGGAGAAAGAAGATAAAGGAAGGGGAAGAGTGGTCCTCGTGCCCCCTTATCTTTGAATTTTTTTTATTTGCACTTTTTCATTTTAAATAATAATGACATGTTTTGTTTAAAAAACATTATGACATGTACTGGTTCAGTCAACATAGTATGTTGAGTCACTGACGGAAATAATAGTTGACCGTCAATTTTGATGGTTAATTCAAATTATAGTTCAAATTTGTTTAATAATTTCAAAAGTAGGCCATAAATGTGGTATTGGAAAAATGGGGTTTGAACTGACACTTACATTAAATTTCGGGCCAAACTAATGTATTACTAAAAATAAAATATGGGCAAAAGTATAAGAGTTGTTTAATAATAATGATTGTCCTTATTTTTTATGCCAAAATAATATTTTGGTCATATATAAGAGACACCTATATTTAATACAATTATGAATTCCTACTTTTTACTCAAAACTATCATCCAAAAGGGAGATTGAGAGAGATTGTAACATCCTGAACCTTTTTCCGACGAAGATATTTTCCGCTTTGGACCTCGACCATCACGGTTTTCGACTTGGGATGCAATTCAATGTGACTTCCCATAAGGTCACCCATCCTTGTTGTACTCCACACTAAGCACGTTTAACTTCAGAGTTCTCACAAGAACTCCTCCATTTCACCCCAAAACGCGTCTTGTCAGTTAAGGCCATTTTCTTACTTATGAACCATGGATCTCTCCCGTGCTTTGTCGATGTGGGATTTGCCTAAGGTGTTACATACACCCCATGGGACTCAACGCCCTCTTTGAGGTTTTCCCCACCATCGTTCAAGAGGGATACGGAGAGGCTCTGATACCACTTGTAATATCCCTAACCTTTTCCCGACGAAGATATTGTCCGCTTTGGGCCTCAACCCTCACGGTTTTATAAATATGTACTTCCTTTATAAATATGTGCTTAAATGTAGTCAACTCATTAGAATAAAAAAATAATTAAAATGAAATGTTTTGATTGGATGAAATAGTGTTAGTATGATGCTAATAAAAAAGTATTTCTTACGGATAGTTAGAAATGCTTTATTATTGACGCATATAATTCATAAAAAATGAATAAATTTGTCGTCAATAAACACTTCGTCATATTTGGCCGTCATGAGTAATTTCATTTTTTATTAGTAACGATTTTATAC